ACAGATGTCTGATTGGCCGATTAGAGCTCAGTTAGTAACGATGACAGAGGTGAGAAAACAGATCAAAAGAATATGACAAGGTTACAGTGATAGTCGTGAGTGGGGGTGAGAACACAAAGGTCAAATAGACGTATTTTCTACCGTATATTACGTAACTCCATCCCTCTCTTATCTTAGCTCACAACCTTCATTTAATCTGCTCATTTCTCGAACGTCTGTCTATTTGACCTTTCTGTTCTCACCCCCACTCACGACTATCACTGTAACCTTGTCATATTCTTTTGATCTGTTTTCTCACCTCTGTCATCGTTACTAACTGAGCTCTAATCGGCCAATCAGACATCTGTATTGTGATCACCTTATATATGTAAACGCCTGATGCGATATACCGAAAAGAAATTTCTTCGCGAATACCGTTTTCTACATTGTCCATGGGATTATTTTACAATTTTAGTAATTTGTCAAACGGTCACTAGTATTTTGCACTCGGAATAACCTTTGTCCTCGGTATTTGAACTTTGTTCTGTTTGAATGGATATTTTTATCATTTTTAGATGCCAAAGATGTGTCATGCTTGGAACCTATCAGTAGTGTGCACAGATTTCGACCATGCCGGACTCCATATAAGAGTTAAATACACAAGAGCGGGTCTCTGCAAAAAGCACACAGTTATGTTTCCACGTCATCTGAATTGATGATATATTTAATTAGACAATTTTAGTTTACGACTCTGTGGTTAGCGCCCACCGCAAGAACCGCTGTACTGTAGGCAGATTTTACTCAAAGTAACTAGAGTAATCGGAAAGTCCTATTGGGCATCCGGACTTGGTAGACTCTTCCGAAAACCCTATGATCTAAAATGCAGAACATCTTCACGAATAGATTATGCACCCAAAGCACCGAATCAATGGCTTGTAGGTTTGACTTCTCTGTTAGAAGCTCAGAGTGCAATCCGTTAAGTCAAACATCCACCTGGGTTGAGCGAGTGAAGAGCACATGGAACGAAACCACCGATATCAAGCAACTTGTCATGAAAATTTTATCTCCGTATTTTGTATCATTCTCTCTCCCTTATACTATTGTTAATATGTCAAATAATGACGGGATAGCTGTTAATAGTTTGAATAACAAAGTGAATGTGCACGCGCATTTCAGATAGCGAAATCAATCAAAATTCGTGGTATGAATAATCCCACATTTCAGATAAGGATTTATCCCTTTACTATCTTGCTCTGAATAGAGGTTTTATCCGGTTCACCAGAAACGAAAATGATTTTACATCTTACGAATATTTGACTTTTTTCAAATAATTGAAGAGCTCCTTGAAATGATCGTATTCTAGAGACTTCTAAATAAAAATTCAGTACTTTACTACTCATAATGAACTATACACGCAATACCGGAAACAAGTGACATAATATCGAGGACTTGGAATAAACTTAAATCCGAGTCTCTACGTTTTATCAATATCGAAAGAGGACAACTTTTGTGAGATGTTAACATTTCGTTTCACCTTCTTAGTCACTTAATTAAAACAAACATGCATATTTATATAGCCCATGGGGTTGTTCAATTATGATGAAATAACGTGTACAAGCACACAAAGATCATTAAACATAGAAGTAGAAGGTCAACCTAACGGTAAGTGGATTGCTTGTATCAAACCTTCCAATGCTTCCAAATCCTTTTGTGCACATAAGGTGGGCAGATGTAATCGAATGACCAGCGCTCCAGTAATTGCCAAGGGTTTAGTATTGTGATTACGTAACAGTGGTTTGAAAGACAAATTGGAGTCAACTGTTTTTAAGTAACCGATTGAGAAAGTTGAACGAAATTTCAACATCTCGCGATGTTTGTATTCTTTCTAATATTGATGAAATGGATAAAGGGAATCCAATGCTTCAAATATCTACGTTTTTTCAAAAAATTCTGAATTCGGTGTTACGAAAAGCTGTTACGTGATGCACAGTGAATGAAGACCGAGAACCAATAATGACTTTTGAAATATGTAGCCTACTTTGTTGAATTTATTTTTACTGATTACTTTCTTCATTCCTCGTCAAAATATTTCGCCCTATTTATCAGTATTCGGCTTCGCCCAAAATCATTTTCGCAACAATATAGCGATTGAAGTTAATTTCTGAAACGAACTAACACAATCCAAGTATACTTAAGGAAATATACACACCCAGATAAACCAGTAAAACTACCAAAATATACGTTCAGCCAGTGTATTGGTTTTGAAGGTCGTTCCTCTGCTAACCGAGATGTAATTGGTTGAGAACGTTGTCCAGTTCGTTCAATGTCATCACGGTATTGGTTCACTCGATCAAACAAAACGATACAGCAATTTCATTGGTCCAAACTCAATCAAGTGGTTTAACGTGTCCAGGTAACCACCCACGTGCTCATTTGGCTTAAGTGATCGGTCAAAAACCGATAGATTGTACATGTGATTTGATTGCGCGGCTAGTGTGAATGCTTTGTGATTGTGCCCACTCCATTGGAACTTTCGACTAGAAGCGGAACGGAATAAATACTGCGCTTCAGGATGAGTACTTCGCATGATCAACGCTGGAATCCGGCCGGTAGTTACGGATCACTGGATAATCTGGCTCGAAGCACAATGTCTCTCGATGTTCCCGAGGCACGAAGTTGCCGTGAGGCACGGGAACAAAGTAGAAAAGAAATGCACGCATTGAATGAAAAATTGGCTTCACAATTGGAAAAGGTAAGTAAATTTGAGACGGTACTAAAACGACTGATTCACATAAAATAGTTTATTGTTCACAGAATAAAAGACTAAAATTGTTCTTGCTGTTTACACTTGGGCTGATCTCAAATACCTAGCCTAGACTAGGAATGAAATTTCATCTACTAGTCGATTCGCAACACCTATTAAAGTTGTCCCGAGTGGATACACACACGAATGGAAACTATTTAAATAAAAGTCACTGAATTGAATACACCCTTCTTATGTTCCGCTTTGGTTTAATGAGGAGACAGCATCGGTGGTCTTATTAGGCAAACTCTAATGCCAGTAAACCCAATCACATTATCAGAGATAAAAATCCTATGGTAGATTTGATTCACCGGAAACATTCATTCTCAATCAGTATACTTGAATTCTGTCCTCCATGGGCGGTGGTGGCGCAGTGATTTAGTCGCTGTCATCGGCGTGCTTTGGACCTTATGGTCCGAGGTTCGAGCCCCGACACCACGATTCAACTTTGATGGTAGACAGCTTTGCGGTCGTCCGGTTCAATACCACGTCTAAACTAGCGGGGCCTTATGTGGTCCACCACTCCAAGTCCCGGGGCTCATATTACCGGTTTCCATGACGGAGCAGCAGGTCTTCGTGGCTATGGGGTACACTCTATCTACTGTTCACCACACAAATGTGTGTAATAAAAAAAATCAGTCAAATCACATGTGTCTGCCTGCCACCTGTTTGTCAATGGAGGATCGAATAGAGGAGAACCACATTATCATTCAAATTGTCTCGGTGTATGTTGTTCCATCCGAAAGTATCGGCAATCAATTGGTCAACGTAGGCCTAATTCCGTGAAAGCAAAATTCATTTATTTGGTTAGATTGTGGCCTATCAGCTCACGTGATTTACTTCAAACATTTATTTTTAAAAAAAGAAAACCGTAGCGAATAAACTCGTCAAATTGATAGATCGTAATTTATGGCAAAATACTTTGTTGAATAACGAATACTTACAGGCGGACGAGCAAATCACATTTCTGTTTCACTATCGATAATTGTTCACACTATGGTCATTATGGTTGGATCATCAAAGGTGATTTGGGGGGTGAATGAGTCGAGTATAGTCGTGACCGTGTGAGAACGAGTTTTCTTATGAATTTGTTTTGGGAGCACAGTCCGAGAGAGGCATGTGGGCGGATTTCAATCTCCTCTGCTGTGGTCAAGATGCGATTATCAATTTCCTTCTATTGTCGGCTGTGGAATCCCACGGCTACATGGGTCACGAAGTCTGACTCCACTAGATTTATAAAAGCTGAACAAGTAGGTTAAGTTCCGTACGAAGTTGGTTGTGACGCAAACTTGTTTGTTTCATAGCTGATAATGGGGAAAATTCGCAGTTTATCAAAGTCTACATAAACTTCGTGCAGCGAAGTCAAATTTGTGTCACAAAAGCAACTCTAAACTGTTTTACAATCAGTGAAGGAGACAATCACAGGATGTGTTTGAGAACAGAATCATAATTCAGTTAAAAACGCAGATTCAACTGATGTACTATCAGTTGATGACAGCCGAGCGGGGGGAAGACTTCATAAAATAGAATGGAACAAATCTAAAAGTTAAAAACACTCCGCTGCCCTACCAACCGGATCAACGATCCAAAGAGCTTATTGTTCGCCAAAGATTCATGGAGATGGGGTCTCTTTCAGAATTAATCTGGGCTCGTGCACCTCCCTTCCCCACGTTAGGGTCAAGCAGCTGGTAGCGATTCTGCAACCTGTAAGAGCACAAAGCGCATATCACACATTGAAAGCTTCCTACAACTGGGTGGCTAAAGCATAAAACTGAAACGAAAACGGGTTACACACGATATCACTCGATCTCACTTATCTCTCCTTAAAAGTGCCCGCCGCTGAAACTATTGAATGCATGTGACTATATACAAATTAGCAATTTCGAATTGGGAGCACCAGTTGGCAATCGCAAAGAACTGTTATATTCTTGGCGTACACAAGGCACAAGTTTAACCACGAAATTAGTCAAAAAATTACCGGCCAACAATGGGCCTGACGGTGGTCCACTTTTGCTAGATGTCTTTATGGTTAAGCTAGAGCATGGCATCCTTAAACAAATACTCGATGACTGCGCATTCTACAGCCATATGCTGATAGTGTCACGACTAGACTGCACCTTGACGTGGTGCGATGGCTTACGTGCCTCCAGAACCCTGTAAGCTACACAGGGTGGCTTTTCACAGTCGCAGATCCAACGACGCCCGAAAGACCAGTGAATAGAAGCCATAAAAAGCTCAGTCTGACAAAGCCAACTGCTTCAGCACCTCCTGACTTCCCTCGTTTATCCAGATCCACCCCTGAAGAGGTCACTCCAACAAATAAACATGTGTGGGCTGCAGTTTACCGTTCAAAAGAACCCGCTATATGGACGTAGGAGCGGGCTATCTGGGGCTTCGTTTCGATGGCGGGAGAAGTTTTCTCACTTCACTGGACAGCTACTGCCCGCCAAAGCCGGGCAGCCCCAGCAAATAAGTTGCTGTTCCGTTCATAATATACTTGTCTCATTAGATGTATGAGGCTAAAGGCCAATCCCACACAGCAGATCGACAATCGACGCACCAGCGAACAAAACACTGAACCGAAACACGAAAGGCCTTGTTTGGTAGGCCTATAGAAGCTCCCACGCAGGTGCTTCGTTCAGGATCCTACTTTAGATTTAGGCATTACTGCGTTGTGGGTCAGACTTTTGAGTCAAAGGCCTTGGGTAAGATTCCCAAAGAAAAACCCCTTCGTCGGTGTGGGCTGCCGCGACGTATGTCGTGCTTAAAGTCTTAGGCAACCATTTAGAAAACCCTCCTTCCCATTTGTCGGATTCTTCCTCTCTATTTCTAGTTTTGGTGGTGACAGAGAGAATCTCAATTGACTACTGAACGGGCTTACCCTTCCTGTATATTCTACTAAGACGGGGATTAGATAGAAGTCTCCACTAGGTGTCGTTCTGCACCAAACAATACATTCACTTATAAATCTGCATAGTATTGGGAAGATCGAGACCCCTGAATTAGGGACCTGTAACCAGAGTAAGGCAATTCGATGGGAAACTAAAATATCTTAGATGTTTTTTTCCGAATCGTTACCCAGAGCGGTAATTGGACATACTGACGTAACACCGATAGCTAAACAAGATCACTACCATTGGTAAGAAACTGGCATACCATCTTTTCAGGATGTCATAACTGTCAAGCTGATAAAGCATGAACTGACTACAGCTGCGAAAAAATAAAACGAAGCTTTCTATCTGTATCCCGCGAGATAACTGCCAGTGTCTGCACGGACAAACTATTTGTTTTAACCCGAGCACAACTTAAATCAAGTTAGTATTGGGGTGATTCGATCGATCGATGTACAACCCTTTAATTAATAGTGGAATCAAATCAAGTGGTTAAGGTGACCGAGGTATCTTGTGACCTTTCTCTAGTTAGCAGTCATCTATTGGAGGGGGTCGGGAGTCGCATCTTGGCCAAAGTGGAAGTGATCTGAATCTTTCCACAGGATCCCTCACCCCCTGTGCTCCGCAAAGCACTTCGTAAGAACATTCAGTCCCCCATGGTAATTATTAAGCGCTCAAATCAGTCAACTCCTGTATTATCCACCAGGAGCCAAATCAATGTGTATGTTTGTTGCCCAAATTGTGGTCGATATCCAGTCACAAAGNTCGGTAATAAACTGTTATTTCACAAACAGGTATGCTACCATCTTTTGTAATTCCTTTCATTGAATGTACAAAGATACAATTTCCAGGAAGGGGGAATCGGCCAATCAAAGGGCTGTCATTCAACACAACGGATAAAGTCAGGCGGCGGTGGTGATAAGATTCGAACACAGGTTCTACTGGGGTGATAATTTGGTGACGTTACCACCGAGAAAATAAATGAAACCTTGTTCTCTTCTTCGTTTATTTTTATCACAAGGTGACTTTTATTCACTATAATGGGACGGACGGAAGTTGTCGGAGGTTAAAACGTTTGGAGGACGAAAGTAAGCCAACTAAACTCGGGAAGATCCCTAAAGGAAGAATTTCGACGACCGGATTAGGATGAATTTTGTTCAGTTTCGACAGAGTCATTACCCCTACCGTTTTCCATTGGTGGGCAAATCTTGGTATTAGATTGATGGGCAACAAAACCACTTGACATAAAATTAACAATGTTATAATCTCGAGTTCTTCGGGCGCAGTACACGTCACAGTCATATCCGTCGGATAAGCCCTAGCATCCGGTTGGTTAATCAGCACTGGATTAGAAATCTCCCCAATACGGTTTGAGATGGGTTACTGCCAGCAGAAAGGCGACTAAAACTTGCTGAAGATGGGTTTGATTAAAGTCCCTAACTGCAAATGTGTACGAACCAGAACAAGTTTATTTGGTCTGCAGTGGTGGCGAGGTTTTGTGAATAAATAAAAAGGCAATAGATGGAATTATCAACAGCTATTAAATGTTAAGTTGACCTGATGGATGTTCGAAACAATTCTGTTTCCCCTATCTGCACTACCAATGGATGAAAAGCAACTGGAACGACCACTAATCAGACAAAACCATGCTTTCTTTGGTGTTATACATTTTTTAATGAATGAGAGTGGTGCTGACGGAAACGACACCTTTATCCGAGGCCGAGTCCACTATTGGGTTTAATGTCTCTCTCTTGAACTCAACGATCGTCCGATATCGAATTGAGAGACAACAAAACTACCCAGGCATTGCTTCCAACTATACAACCTTCTCTCCATCTCTTCATTCAAATGGGTATCCAAAAGACAGCAACCAAAATCTTCCGTACTACAGTGCATGCATAATGGTTGTATAAAATGAAATTAAAACTACTCGGACAGTTACGCAAGAAGTATAACGACTGACCTATGCAGCGAAGCTAACAAGGGTGACGGAAATCCAGCACATTTTCGCTATCAAACGCAAAGCGAATTTACACGCGTATGGCACATCAAATACACGCGGTTTTGGTTTTTATAACCATTACCCTGCATTTTCATGCCCCGGTTTTGGTTGCTGTCTCTTGTTGCCCCATTTGGATGAAAGATTGGAATGCTGAAAGCCAATTCAAGCGCAATGTGAGCAAGTCAGAAAGAATGGTATTTGGGGAATAATGGATGATGCACAAGCGCCACTGTTTGCGACACTCAGCCATATCACTCAGTGTCTCTAACTATCGGTGACCATCATCCCGCGGTCCCTAGCCAGGGAGTCTAACGGGGCCCACGTGACCCAATCTCTTGGTTACGGTTTTCATACCCTCACGCCAGGTCTTCATTTGAACACCCTTGAAATTTTCTGCGAGACGGAGAGAGAGAACAAAAGTGCAGGTAGTGACAGGATATCTTGGATTTGTATCGCGATATTTTGACCTGAAACTTTACTAACTTGACGATGACTGGCTCCTTGGAAAGGATAAGCCGGTTCAATGAATGTCTCTGATTTCCGCAGTAGAATACATGATCGTGAAGTTACTTGGGACTTTTTTGTAGGAGAGACATCTCCAGCATCACTCGGCTTTTGTCTTTATTTTGAGGGCGCACCTCTAGCCTTTGCACAACCAAGTGCGAAATACAGGGCCGCAGGAAATAATCCCTCGCTTCGAAAGTGAGGGGGTCAGTGAGTTTAGTTTTAAAAAGGCCAGTCACATCGAAGTTTGTTACGATACCGTCATTGGGCTTATGCAACCAGGAGCCAGGTGACCAGTCCGAAACCCACCACACCCTGGTAGTGCCACCGTTGTTTGTTCGCGACTGCTTCTTTGTTTCGCTATGCCACAACGTAGTCACAGCTAATCTTCTGCGATGAAGGTATGCCCCTATCCATAACCCCGAGTAGCATTCAGCTCTGCTTGGCCAAGGGTATGTTGACCTGAAACAGATTAAGAACGCCGTGATTTCAATCGAACTCCCTTAGCCCATCCACGAGGGTTGACTGGTTCAACAAACTATTGGCAATCAAAAATGCTATCCACAATACATTTAAAACGGAACTCTTCCCATTTGAAATAGTGTCGCTTTTGGCTCACTGTCTTGACTCTCGAACCTGTCTGCAATCAATCACATAGGTTCTTTTAAATGAACCTCTGGAGATAGTCAATTTTCCACGGTATACTTCTTAAACGCTGCGCTTTTTCTTTGGGTTCTTAGCGAAGCACATACTTTTAAGATGAGAATCGAGGACTCGGAGATGGTTCCGCCTGTGCGGCAGAGATACGGTGAGTGAATTGCATAGTCTATGTTGATGTACTGTACGCTTATTTCCTGTGCGGTCAACTCTGTTTTTGACGTAAAGTTGAGTTCAACACAAACTAGGTTAAACATGCTTACCGATTCCTCACAAGCGTACGGGAATTCTAAGGTTCAAGAAAGCGTTTAAAATAATGTAAAAGTATACCAAACATCCCGTTTCAAAAAATGGCTAAATCCATTACCTTCTGGTCGACTGAAATCAAGGCAAAACAATATATTCAATAAAATTGATGAATTAATTTACTTTTGATTGACTAACTCCTGCAGGAAGGTAAATCGCCTTCCTGGATGTCTCTAATGATGGCAGCCCATGCACAACGATCGGTAGCAAGGTTGACGCAGTGAGAAGCCCAGTTATGGTTCCAGTTGCGAATTCCATGTACGGATTGAAGACCCGATAATTCCAAAGCCGCCTTGACCGTACTAAGTAGGTCTTCAGTTGACCGCCGAGTCAGCAACGCCACCCACGGCACGGTGCGGCGGCTTCAGTCTGTCACGAGAGTTGAGTGTCCGGCCTTCGGAG